TCAACGAGCACATAAGAACAAACCGGTTAATATTATTAAGAAGCAGCTTTTGCTAAAGCCTGTTTAATTTAAATAACCTTCTCTCTGCTTTTCTCAACCCAACACAATATACAATATACGTAATACAATATTTATATGAAATCTTGACACAAGATATACAATGGTACAATCAATGAAATCTATCAATTCATATTATTCTCTATTTACATACATATATTGATGTGATGGTAACATATTCCTAAGTACTTGTGTAGAATAGGTTTTGTGTAAATTAGCTTTCAGTACATAAATACAAAAGGTACTTTATTAACAAAAGTAAATATATGCTGTATTTACCTTCAAAGTATTTTTTGATTAACAGTCCTTAGAAATGATTGATCAACCTAGCGCAGGTGGACATTTAACTTCATTTCATTATTATGTTTTCGGCGTACTCTCGTAACTGTTTGAGGAGGAACTCCACTTGTTTCAAGCCATGCTACCACGAGACGACGCGGCGCCTGTCGCGTTGCTACAGTCGCCGCCTCGCATATCTAATATGAGTCTCTAGCATGACTTGAAACCAGTCAAGTTCCTCGTCGAACAGTTACGTGAGTAAGCCAGTGAGTAACTTCAGGAAGAGATATGCGATATGTCCGACATTAAATAAAAAATTCGATAATAATATGTAATTACCAATATTCAGTGCAAGTCGAAACTAAACCATATTTCTAAATATAGAGTACAAAATTATATGAATAATGAATATTTAAATATATCTTTGATAATATCCTTAACACGAAAGGAACAAATACCATTCATTTTTTTATAAAATGTTAATTAAGTATGGAATTTACAATGAAAAATATGATGAACATTGGTATTTCATAACAAAAACATATAAAACTATAATTGTTCGAATAATATTTGAAAACTATAAAATTTTTTAGTCTTTTATGAATAATCACGATCACAAAACTACGAAATCGTCTATACAGATAAATAAAATTGTAATGTCTGTTTGTAAAATTTAAATAACCTCTTCGCTTTTTACTACATGAACGGTTTGATATGTGTATCGTATGTACGTATGTCGTATGCATATTACATTAAAATTTTAATTTTGTAACATTTAAATTTTTTAATTTTTTATCTGTATGTCTGTTTATACTAGCTAATCTCTGAAAAGGCTGAACCGATTTGACGGGACTTTTATTGGCAGTTAGCTGATGTACTCAGAAGTAAAATAGACTACTTTAATATTGGAAAATGGAAACAAAAACATTTGTGCTAAAATTTCTAAAATTCTTATTCTACGCGGACGAAGTCGTGGGCAACAGCTAGTAATATCTATTAAAATAGCATCTTGTTCAGTTAATTAGTACTTATCGAAATACACAGTCGCTTTCTAAATCTGAATTTCATCAAAGAGTCGTTATCGTAAGATATTAAAGGCAAAATCTGTAACCGTAAAGTAAAGTTCGAATATGCTGAAAAGTGCGAACAAATTTCCAGGAAACCAATTTTGCTCATTTACGAGTATGTGATCGTGTTTAGTCAAAGTTTACTAAGAAAAGTCATATATAGATATACTAAACATGAATTTTCATAAGAATACATCATAGTATTGCATTACAATTATTATAATATTAATTTATTAATTATTATTATAATATTAATTTATAGCTTATAATTTATTCCTACATAACTGTTTATAAAAATCACAAAACAAAAACATTGATTTAAGTTAAAACATAATTTTTTTAATGTAAATATTATACATTCAATTCAAAACTATACATAAGTAAATAAATTGAAAATTAGATACACATTGCAGGTTATATAACATTTAAAAAAGAACATACACGACACATGGACTCAAGTATGCTAAAATAATTCGATTATATTCTTATCTTAAGGTCTACTTTTGATTGAATCATAAAACACAAAAATATGAATAAAAAGTTTAAACATAACAAACTTGATGTATTTAGTAGTCATTTATTTATATCTTTAATAAATTATCCCAAAAAACTAACGTAAGGAAACAGGTTAACGGTACGGGTGGGTCTGTACCGATCAATGAAAAGTTCACTTATATGTAAAAACTACTAGGTTTTTGTAAGAACCTGCACAGATAGGTACCATATATTCATGGAAACACCCTTACACATAATAGGTACTTTCAAAAGTACATATATATATACACCAAAATAATCCAATCAGCAATGAAACAGCGAACTAAGAACTTGTTACAAATATATACCTACTAATAAACAAATCACTTCTTAGATAGCTGTCTGAAATTATGTATAATTTTAGTGGCGCCCTCTGATTTAAATTAAAATTTAAAACCTTTTACTTATATTCATATCTGACAAACTCTTATTTCTTCTACTTCTTAATTCTAAATATTCTTTCCCATTTGAATCTTTTCCTTCTCCATCTTTGAAGGGACGAAAGTTAAAGGATCTGCCTTCTTACTTTCGGCTTCTTTTGCATCTTTCTTCTCTTCGGCTTCTAAAGCAATCTTTCTTAAGTTCTTCAGTCCTAACTTATTCTGGATGTAGAAGAGTCTGTAAGGATAATTCGTAATTAATATGCATGAAATAAATAATGCAATATCTTAAGAAAGAAATACATTAGTTAAAAATATTTGGAAAATCATTTCGAAAAGTACATTAGAGCTCTATTACTTAAAAAGCTATATAGTTTGATTACGATATTGAAATCTCATGAATTAAAAATTCAGCTAAATCCTAGGATCTAAAGTCATTATCAAAAATGTAACTATAATGAAGCAACAAAGAAAAACAGTTGTCAGAATAGAAAGAACCATAAAATCTGACACCGAGTCAAGCAAAAAATGCCAACTAAGTTTTTACGTATAGGACACAATGAAGTATAAATACTTACAGAAGAATAATAGACGGTGGTATGGCAATAGCGGCGCTGGCGAGGAACACTGCTCCTGGCAACGAATGCAGCGTCTTCATGTACATCCACGAGTAGAACGGATGAAACACCAGTGCTGCTGTCGTCTCCGTTAGGGAGAACAATGAGTTCACTTTGGCTGAAAAGCAAACAGATAGCAAATTTTATTTAAGGGCAATAAAGTTCAAAATCAATTGCAGTAATTACAATTTCATCTGGACTTATTTCTTTTTGTAATAGTATAATATCCAATCTTACTAGCTTTCGATACTTTTCTATTGTGATTTTACTCGGATTTTCATTCATCTCCACTCACATTCAATATCAACGTTTGACAGAAATGAAACACATTAACGGTTTTAGGCATTGTACTAAACGTATTGTCGGCCGCTGACTGAGAGCACGTGGCGTAGTTTATCGCTTTCCCACATATATTTAACATCTCGTTCACGCCGAACCAACTACACGCTATTACGTAATGCGTCGTCGACAATGAGCACACTTACAGTCGGCGACGGACAATACGTCTGGTGTGAACGATACCTTAAATTAAACTACAGTCGGCAATACCAAGCAAAACAACAATGAATAAAACAATCAGAACTCACCATTCTCCTGTTTTTCCACCAACTTGGATATGATGGAACGCAGTGACGTAAATGTTGTGGCATTTAGTAGCTCAGCGACAGGCACTGCAATTGTGAACACAATCAAATTAATGGCCGCCATTGAACCGACCGTTATTCAAATGCATATTATTATCATAATAAAACTGGAATATTATGAGATGGTGGATGCTTTGTGCCGTATGATAATTTGATATTCATTTCGTTTAGTTATGGCGATCGCATTGTAATGCTGTGGCTGATGATAATATCATATCTGTCATTTTGCTTCCTGTCCTTGTGTTGTTACACCTTTATGACAACTCTGTTATCGACAACAGATCAATAAAAAAATTTAAGTTACATTTTATTGCACTTGATTGTGGAAATTGTTGCAATGTAAAATATGTAACCAGTAGCCATTTCCAATACAGATTACAAGGACTTCTAAAGGACTTTTTAACAAAAGAACTAAGGGCAATCCAATAGAGATCTGCATGCAGGTTTGATCAAAAGTCCAACACGTAATATGTATATACAATGGCAGAATCCTACACCATCATAGGATACAAGCCTATGTATTGTAGTTATAGTTATGTATGGTATAACGAAGTAATAGGGTAGATGCCTAATTTTATTTCAATGTCCGTCTGATAGATTATTTCAAACCATTAGACACGTTTTTATTTTCTTACAGAAACGAATACTTTCGAAGATATATTGATTTCATAAGTCACGTGACGTCACTTCAATGTACATTTTATACGTTGAAATGACGTTTTAGCCCCCACTTCTAAACATTGATTCGTTTTATCTAAACATTGTTTTATTATACGACAAAATAAAAAAATACGTGTCTAATATTTTTTCATTACCTAACTTACGGACTAATTAGATTTTTAATTTTCATACTCTGTCATTAATGTTTTGTTATTGTAATTTTGTCTTTAATTTTTATTTTTCAATTTTATTCTAATTTTATTTTAATTTTACATCCATTTTTATTTTAATGTATTTTATTATTGTTTTTATTTTATTTTAGTTTAATTCAATTTCAATTTTACATACATTTTTATTTTTCAATGACATTTATCATTTGTTTTTTAATGAAATCTGATTGTGTAATAATTGTAATTGTAATTGATGATCAAATTTGTTTTACTAACACTAGTTGTATAAGAAAATTGTTACTAACCATTTATGAGCTCTGAGCTTGAAATAAAGATTACAATTCAATTATCCCAATTGTAATACTTTAAGTACTTACCCAAATACATTTCAATGTCGGTCGTGACGAATGCAGTCCATATGGACCCGGCGATCTTGCTGATAACAGAAATGAAACACAGCAAGCAATCATCAACCTGCAGACGTTTGCTCAGTACAGTGATGGAAAACATCGCACCTGAAAGGAAAAACGAACAAAATTGAATATTGTATGTACAAACTAGATTTATACAAGTAACTACTAAAATGGAAATCCTTATCCTTACTAATATTATAAATCGGAAAGTGAGTGTGTTTGTTTGTTTGTTCCGCTTTCATGCCGTAACTACTAAACCGATTGCTTTGAATTTTTGCAGACGTAAAGTTCGAAGTCCGGATTAAATAATAGGGTACTTTTTATCCCGCAAAAATTGGATATTCCCGAGTGAAAACATATATATTGGTATAGATGGCGCTGTGTGTATTGGTATATATCACATAGACTACTTTTTATCCTTTTGTGACGCGAGCGAAGCCGCGGACAAAAGCTAGTATTGTTCATAAATTACACTTATATTGTTATCATTTTATCTTGACATTGAATGACCGACAACATTAACTCTACAATCGTACGATATTTGTTGTTATAATAACTATTGTGAGACATACTGCATTAACTAAAAATTAGGAGTTACTCAAGTAAATGTACTGAAAAAGCTCTACTAGTACTAGTAGACTACAAGTCACAGAAAGACTCTTATTTATGGGCATACTTGTCTGAGTAGCAAATGTTTCATAGATTTAAACGACTATGTGAACAAACGATAGGAGTTCAAGTCTATCAGGTAAATCTATTTCCAAGTACTTATTACGTACCCAATCGATATTTTATTTTAATCAAATTATTTCTTGTCTGGTTACCCCTAAAACCTGCCATTACCTCTTAATGCGAAAAAATTGAGAGACCTTTCAAATCATTTGACGTAGCGCAAAATTTATGCGATTAACGTTTTAAAATCCCTTTGAAAAATCAGAGGAGGCAGCACCTAGCCTCTCATTAAAGGGCAAAGGATATCATTACCCTCATGTACTTTTGTGAGGTGGGCAGTCTTCATTATGAGGAAACTCCTGTCAAGAATATAAAGCAAAATTTTCCTTTTCTTCAATATTATACCGAAAGGGCGATCACCATAAATGTGAATCTTCGGGATACCTTTCAAAATTATCAATATAGCCGACCCCATGCCAGATGCAATCAGTCAAAAGGATGGAGCTTTGATATTGTTTTTCTCAAAAGGGAAAATGTAAATTATACGCAAACATCGACTTCCAAAAGAAAATTTTGCGACAAAATTTCGTGTTGTATTGATATCACAGGCCTTTTTACTCACCAAATGAATGTAGTACAATGGAGTAGCTGACGTAGACTCCATACTTGACCATGTCCCAGTTGAGACGGTTCCTGACGAACAGGTAGAACACTCCATGTTCCGCTGTAATTGTTACAATTTTTTGTGATTCAAATGATAATGATGGTAAAATGATGAAATACTAATTATCGCTGCTGCGGAAAAGCCTCTTCTCCCACGAAAAAGGAATAAGAATTAATCAGCACCATCACCAAGTTAATCCCAAAACAAACAACCATCATTTAGGCTCACTACCTCGCGACTGGTCATAGACACGACGATCGGGATAGGGGAGTCGAAATCGATTTCTGAGTCTACAAAGTATAATCATTGGGATTTACACATTCATAATAGAATTGACAAATACAATCCCTGTATTTATCAATCCTCATCCATGAGGCCCATCCTCTAATCACATAACTGGTGAAAAGTGGGTGTAACATTTGAAATGTACATATTTGTGTTTTGTTACTTACACGAAGTAGGTCCGAAGAGTAGGAATACCATCAGCAGAGTGAGCAGGATCTTCGTCTTCTTGTTCTTAGTACGAGGTCTGAAGGCGACAGCTATCGTCTCCGCCACGTGGGATAGATCGAAAAACGATACATTATTGTCTATAGTTCTCTCGATCTGTAAAGCAATGAGATACATTACATATTTACATACATAGTCAAAGTACACAAGATAATTTGGTATAGAGAGGCAGTACATAACCATTCGTTCTTTACTGAGCCGACCAATAGTTATAAAATATATAACTTCGTTAATTCAAAAACTGAAAGTCCCCATAATACCTTGGCCGACACACGAATTAAACCCAAGTCCAATTCAGAGTCTCAGGTTCAATGCCCGAGTCGAAGTTGCAATCGATGCTAAAAGCCTTTTAATTTGTTATTATTATTTGATATCTGTTCAAACGACAATCAATTCTAATCGGTGAATACTCAAAATGTGGAGTCTAGACAAATTGCATTCCGATCTTAGTAATCATTTTTTTTTCCAAACAATATACATGGCAATAATATGACAATTCAAAACACACGATGTATGACAATGATTTATATATATACACATATATTATATTACTGAATTGACTCCCTCTAACCATTACCATTATGGTGTCGGCAAAATGGAATACATTTTCATATTATAACTTTCGTGAGACATACTAAATTAATTGTTATATTTTTCGGCGTACTTACATAATTATTAGACGAGGACCTCGACTAGTTTGAGCCTGTAGTATGGGTTGAAACTAGTTGAGCTCCTCGTCAAACTATCACGTGAGTGAGCCGAAAAACAAAATAACTAATTTAGAATACGTTGAGTTTCGTGAGATCTTATGTAGAGGAAGACCATAGTACAAGAATTGACTCAGTGAAAGTCTGACACTCCTTCTCGCCTCACTCAATGCGGGTGAAGTCATTAGATTGATTTTCCCCCTCAAAAAAACATAAAGACTTGCATAAATTATTGTATTGTATCATTTTATAAACTATATTAGATACTCTTAAGTTGTCAACTTATTGCACCGACCATGCTCTCACTGCATCACCTAAAGGTGTGCTAGTAAGAATGCCCATAGCATTAAGCCGGCCTATGTACTCTTGTAACATAAAGTTAAATAAATAAATAAATAAATTGTTGTTGTTGATGATGACAACAAATGTACTGACGTCTGTACCACGCAGTACATCGCACGAAAGTTTAAATTCGCCAACTAAACGTAAATCGTTAGCAATAGTTTGTATCCTGTTGTTAGTACGCATGCGTGGGCCTTTTTTTTTTTTTTTTTTGAGGGGGGAAAATCATCCAATGACTTCTCCCGCCCGGGTGAGGCGGGAGGGAGTGTCAGACTCTTACTGACTAAAAACCACCCCGTTCCTACTCCTGCACTTCGAGCCGGAGCCCCGGCAACCCGTTAAGTCTTCCGCGGCTCCGTATCGGCATCAGCCCTGTTAGGCCCCATCTGTGGTGGTCTGATGGCTCCTTGAGGCGCGCGCGGAACGCGACGCGCCGTACGCTCGGGCCTGGTTCTGGTCGGGCGGCGAGTCACCCGTGCTCGCCGTCCGCAGGCCCGTGCTTACGGTGGCCGGAGATCGTCTCGCGATCCCCGACGCCCGGAGTGTCTCTCGCGACGGCCGGGTCGTGAGGAGGTTCGTTCCCTCACGCGCTCCGCCTCCTCCTTAGCTAGCATGACTGCTTCGCAGAAGGAGGAGACGGCATCCCAGTCCCCCTCGCTCCGTACCATGGTCTGAACCAGAGCCGGATGCGAGAGGTCGCCGTCGCCGATCACATTCCTGAGGACACGGCGGTGCTCAGTCCACGCAGGACACACCGCCACCGTATGCTCCACCGTGTCCTCCGGGCGATCCTCGCAGTGATGACACCCGGGCGTTTCCTCCCGCCCAATCCGAAACAGGAACCTACCGAAACTCCCGTGTCCGGTAAGCACCTGCGTCAGGCGGTAGGTGAGGACGCCGTAGCGTCTCTCAAGCCACTCCTCAAAGAGGGGACTTACCGCTGCAATGACAGCGAGCCCAGCCTTCGGTTGCGACAGTCGTTGCTGCCATTCCGCCATGAGATCACGCCGGAGCTCATCCCGCCACGCATTAATCTGGCGCGGCAGCGGAGATTCGCCCCGGCGACGTGCCTCCGCGCGCAAACAAAACACGCGCGCGAGCACCTTCGCCTCCAGATCCCACGGCGGTAATCCGGCAAGGAGGTTCGCCGCCTCCCCGGAGATCGTGCGATATCCGCGTATCAATCGGATCGCCATGACCCTCTGTGATGTGAGCAGCGCCCGAGCGGGCCGCCGCATCAGGTTCGGCGCCCACACAGGGGCGCCGTAGAGGGCCATGGACCGCACGACCCCGGCGTATAACCTCCGGCAGGAGGCGTTTGGCCCCCCGAGGTTGGGTAGGAGGCGCTTAAGCGCCGCCCCCGTCCTTTCCAACTTAGGAGCCAAACGTCGGAAATGCTCCACGAAGTTCCACCGACTGTCGAGGACGAGTCCTAGGTACTTCATCGTCGTCTCGACGCCGATGGTAACTCCTCCCGCCGTTAATTGAGACTCACCCGGAGGTGGCGCGTTCCCGCGGCCATAAAAACACATGGCCTCGGACTTGTGGAGCGCCACCTCGAGTCCCAGTTGCCGGATTCTTTCAACGACTGTCGTAACCGCTCTCGCCGTTAAATTAGCCGCCGCCTGATGCGACCTCCCTTGAGCTACCACCAGTGTGTCGTCAGCGTAACAGACCACGCTGACGTTGTTCGGGAGGTCGGTGCGCAGCACCCAGTCATAGCCGATGTTCCACAGGAGCGGCCCCAAAACCGAACCCTGTGGAACACCGCGCGACGTCTCTCGTCGGTTCCACTCACCTCGGTGACCGGGGTAAATGACGGACCGTTCCGTCAGGTATGCCTCGATTACACGACGGAGATAGGTGGGCACCCGATGATATCGAAGTGCCTCCAAAATGCAGCTCCAGGGCAGGGAGTTGAAGGCATTGGCGATGTCCAAGGACACCGCCACTACGACCTTACCCCTGGACACTGCAGTCCCCGTCGTGAGGTCTCTTACACGCATGATGGCGTCCACCGTGGAACGCCCTCTGCGGAAGCCGAACTGGCCGTCCGACAGGTCCGGCCCAACATCCGACAGGTGCGCGACGAGGCGGTTCGAAATGATCCTTTCGAAAACTTTTCCCACCTCGTCGAGCAACACGATGGGCCGGTACGCAGACGGAGAGTCCGCAGGGCGCCCCGGCTTCTTCACTAGGACCAATTTACCCGCCTTCCACAATTGCGGGAACTGGCCCCTCTCCAAGCATGCGCTGTAGAGACCAATTAATCGAGGCTCGAGAGCCTCCGAGGCCAGGACCCACGCCTTGCCGTGCAGTCCGTCGGGTCCCGGGGCGGTGTTCTTGGCGCCCATCCGGCGCACCGCCGCTCTCAACTCGGCCTCGGTCACCTCCGAAACTGTGTCGCCGTCGTCTTCGCTGTGGCCCGCATAGGGCACCGCAGGGGGCGGAGTCATGGACGGAGGGGTGAAACCCCTCTGTAGTCGGGGGAACAAGGCGCCGACCACCTCCTCCACTACCTCTGGCCGGAGACTCTGAGTCAGCGGGGGAGCCCATGTGCGGAGCTTATCCCGCACCATCCGATAGGGGCGTCCCCACGGGTCTCTGTTCAGAGTCTCCAAGAACTCCTGGAGGGCATTCTCTTTGGCCCGCCGTATCTCCGCTTTGAGGGCGGCCTTCGCCGCCTTGTACCCCTCGTACAACTCCGCCTCTCTGACCTCTGCGTCCTGAGGACGGATACGAAGCCTGCGGTGCCTGGTGTACCGGCGTCGCGCAGCAGTGCATGCACTGCGTAGAGCAGCCAGCTCTTGCGACCACCAGTACGTCTGGCGCTTGCGCTGACCTGGCCGGACCCGGGGCATCGCCACGTCACAGATTCTGGACATGGCGTCCTGGAGCCACCTCGCCTCCTCGTCGATGTCGGCAGGCCTGTGCGGTGGTATCACCCAGGCCTGCACGATTGCGGCTTCCAGGAATAGCTCCCGGTCCAGCTGTCTCAGCGCCCAACGCGGGCCACATGGGGCCTGTCTGACCGGCGGGTCCGCGGACTCGGTGGAGACGTTAAACCGGATATACCGGTGGTCGGAGTACGTTTCCACCTCCTCCATGACACGCCAGTCAACGACACGCGGTGATAGAGCAGGGCTAGCGAACGAAATGTCCACCACCGACTCGCCCTGCATCCGCACGCACGTGGGGACAGAACCCCGGTTCAGGACGACTAGGCCTGCCTCAAGGGCCCAGTCTTCCACCATCCTACCCCGAACATCAGTAAACCGGGAACCCCAAGCCAAGTTTTTGGCATTGAAGTCCCCGAGGACTAGCACGGGGAGGGAACGGAACCCGACAACGACGGCGACCAACTCCCTCAGGGAGTTGTGGAACTCGGCGAGAGTTCGGTTCGGAGAGAAATACACGCCCACCACAGCGATCTCTCCGAACCGTGCTGCGACACAACCCCGGCCTCTCTGAACGGCCTCGAGAGTCGGGGTACCGGCGGCGGCTGACGAGATGATGGTCACCGAGCCGTCCAAGTCCGCCACCCAGTGATCCCTGGGCGGGACAAAATACGGCTCGGAGACCACAGCGACATTTATTGACCACTGCGCCATGCTCTGAAGCAGGAGATCCTGAGCGGCGGCGCAGTGGTTGATGTTCGCCTGAAGGAGGCGGAATGGAGCTATTATTGGCAATCCATCCCAGCCTCCTCCCTGACGGCATTACAGCCAGTGGTGGCCGCGGCGACGGCATTAGTGGCGACTGCAGCGGCGGGGGCGGGACTGACGGGGACAGCGGAGGGCCTACCCTTGCCCCGGGATTTGGCAGGAGGGGAACAGGCCTTGCTCCCGACCCGGTGATTGGCCGGCTTACCAACCGCCGCACATGCGTGACAGTGTAGCGGGGCAGAGCACGAGCCGGCTCTGTGACCGGGCTGACCGCAACGGAAGCAGCAGTCACTGCGGTCCACCTCCGAGGTGCACCTAGCGCTCACGTGGTCACCTACGTGGCAGCGGAAACACCTTATAGGTCGGACCTCGAGCAGTTTGACCTGCGCCGAGACCCAGCCTACCAGGAGCCTTCGACCCTCCTTTATTTTCTTGGCCGCTGAGACGGGGCAGCTCACTACAACCGTTCGCAACCCCGAATTATCTGGACGGATGGTGCCGGTCTTAACCTGCTCTGCAGGGCACTCACCCGTCCTGGCCACAGCGGCCACAACCTCCTCCTCCGTCACGGAGTCGTCCAGGCCCATTATACGCAACTCCAGGCACTTGGTTGGCCTTGACACGCGAGCCTCGTCTGCACCAAGGCACACCCTGAGCCTTTCGGCTAGAGCGTCAGCGGTTGGACCGCTGGTCGCGCCGGGGACCTCTAGTAAACGGGCTCCAGTCGCCGTCACTTTCAAAGAGAACCCGTTAGGGGCCCCGTACTCCGCGGGAGTTACCGCCTGCTTCAGTTTGGCGAGGATGTCGCCATATGTCACGCCTCTTTTGACCGCGTCCGGCTGTAGAGTTATCACTACAGCCGCGGTTTTAGGGGCGACAAGCATTGCCGCAGCGCGCTTTTCCTTGCGCCGCTGCCGCTGCCTCTGCCGCTGCTCCTTTTTTCGGCGCTTTCGCCCTTCCTTGGCGACCCTCCTCGCCTCTCCGACCACCTGCCATCCGCCGCCGCTGGCAGGGGAACCCGAAGTTCGGGTAGGCTCCACAGCTGGGGCAGTAGACGGCCCAGGCACGGCGCCCCCACGCCTACGAACTGTTGGCGCCCTCACCACCGTTTCAGCTGAAGCCTGCGCCGGCGAAGCCGCCGGCGGTTGGGCCCGGACACCGCTGGACCGACCAGGAGTAGTCGGCATAGCCGCCGCAGCCGCAAATGTGCGCGGTGCTGCTTGACTCCCTGCGAGTGGGGGGCGGAGGATCCTGCTCTCCAGCACGTCAAAACGCTGCTGGAACGCAGCCATCTCCCGCCGCACCAGGCCGATTATGTCGGCCTCCACTGGCTGCGAGGCTCGGGGTCGACCCTCGCGAGCAGCGGCGAGCTCGGCCTTGGCTGACCGAAGCTCGTCCTCCATAGCCGCATTGGAGGCTGTCAGCCGGATCATTTCTCGGCGCATCTCCCCCAGCTCTTTTTGCAAGGCGGCCATCTGCTGCCCTGCCGCTGAAGGCAGTCCACACTGTCGAGCCGCTTTCATAATGGCTGCCTTCGCTTGCCTTAACACTCCGTTTCGGCCCTTCTCGGACTTCTGCTCAGCCACCGTCCGGAGTGTTTGTTTGACCACCTTGCAAAGGTCGCCATTTATGGCACCAAGGTCGCCTACCGAGCCCTCGCCGCCAGATTCTGATGAGTCAGCTTCAGCTGACTCGGCCCGAGTAGCGGCCATCGGCCTCTCGCAGCCCTTTCTTCGACCCCTACCCCGCGCAGCCGTAGGGATCTTAGGGGCTGGAGCCTCCTGCTCGTTGGAGGACGGATCCCCGCCCTCCTTCAACCTGGGACGTTTAAACGTCCCCTTTTTTTGGCGCTGTGAACTCAAGCTGCGCAATGAGTAAGCGCCAGATGCGGAAGAGTAGTCAGACTCTGCTTCCGACATCCTCCGACTTAAGGCCCGTGTGAGGGATTGGCTGGACGACTCCAACGCTTCCCCACGGGTTCCAGAGCCACCCTGGCTCTCCCCGCCAACAGCAAGCGAACTAAGCTCGCTTGCCCTCTCCTCCTCCGGTGTTTTAGTTTTATTTTTATTTTTATTATTAGACTCCATACAATTCCCACGAGTATGGGGGAAATAAACGGTCCGCCCAGGCAGTGCCCCCTGTACCTGGGTAAGTGTATATTTGTTTCCCAACTAGAGGGTCCACCGGTACCCTAGCTGGGGGTGCGCTCACGACTGACACTACTCCTCAGCCATGCATACCCTCGCCGCGCACCAGAACTTGGTATTGGAGGAATTTTTTATAGAGGTTATCTTCCTCGCGGTCCGGGCGACCAAGCCAAGACCCTCGTCCCGTTCTGAGTCATGAGACATCCATGATCTCTTCTCGGATTACGATTTCGACGGTTGCAGTCGAGGAACCATGTGTCCCGATGCTGCTCGTTGGCAGGGTGAGTGCGCAACGAGCACCGTCCTTGCCTCTCCGCCGCGTTCTCTGCTAAGTTCAGAGAGACGGGCGGAAAAGCGACCCCTCGGAAGCGTAGGCTATGTGTCTGCACAAAACCCGCCGCCTCCAGAACCCATCCAGGGTTCGTCCGCCCCGTCCAGAAGTTAGCTACAGGCAATAGCCACTCCAACCCTATCACTCCCGTTAGGGAGACTATCACCTGTACCCAGGGTGCACCACGGGGAGGTCTTCTGGCACCGCACCCCACGCATGCGTGGGCCTAGACTTGACCTTACTACTCCTTCCTTATTGTCATCACGTAAAGTATTAAATTGCTTATTCATTAATGTGACACTTTAGAAATATATTATAGGTTTATAGACAATATTTTTATTAAAATTACCTAAATATACATCATAAACTAGTCAACACCAAGGCTTTTCCTTTTTGTTTGTCCTGGACATTAGTAAAAATTTAGAATTTTCTCAACTATTTTATCGTATTGTGCTGCATCTGCTACTTCGGAAATATTCAACCAACAGAGTTTGTAATAATCACACATACAGTTATCAACAATCTATACATGCCTACTGCTGAGCAAAGCCTCTTCTCACATGCGGGTTGGTCGATTTTAAACTTATTAGTCAGCGTAGAAGGCTTTAAATTTAATCATGTATTTAATAAAAGTAATTTTTCAATGACCTCAGTGTGTACTTCCAATACAATATCGGGATATCGGGCATTTACCTACATTTAATTTATTATCAACATTGAACATATTGATACGGGAAAGATAAATTATTTCAATACTTATGTTAATTTTAAACAAAAACTTTTCAACCCTATTTGTCGTTGCTATAAAATTCATTTTAGTATGGCAAGTCGCCACTCTTCAGGGAAAAAACCCAAACCAAAAAATGTATTAAATTGTATCGACTGATATGAACTCTTTGTGTCTACATACTAGATGCTAAGAACTAACTGAATTACATACATATTAACCAAATGATGTACCAACCATAGTACTATTAAATATGTGTAATTATTATCATATTTAGGTACACTTCGGAGGTAATCACTCAATCTTATTTAATAAGGAAGCCCGATAGATTAAAATATTGATAACTTTTTCAAGGAGCTAACTTAGTACTTCTATATACGCGACATGGATTGTAATGACATTTAAAATTCCTTTTTTATCTACCAGCAAGTCAAATTGTTCTGTTACCCACGGTTCGTTCGCTGGGTGAATAAAAGAGGTGCCTCTAGCTGCCTTACTACCTCATTTGACATAACATAACATCACGCCTTTTTATCCCCGAAGGGGTAGGCAGAGGTGCACATTGCGGCACTTAATGCCACTGTACAATGTAACACCCACTTTTCACTATTTATGTTACGATTACGACTCCCATGTAATAGGGGTGAGCCTTTTGCCATATACTGGGCTCATTTCCAGACTCCGTGCTACTACTGACAATTTTAAAAACCCAATAATACTTTGCCCGACCCGGGAATCGAACCCGAGACCCCTTGCCCGGCAGTCGCTCTTGCGAGCACTCGGACAACGAGGCCGTCAACTACCTCATTTATGCTATAAAATAGTCCTAGTTTATTTTGGACTTCCTTTACATATACATTCAGTCAAAAAATTATCGGGTATGGATGATTTGATTCAATGAATGATCTTCGCACAAGGCTATCATTGTGAACGAATTTTTGACCAAACACTCAACATATACCATCCAGCAACCACCATATTCACCAGATATGGCTCCTGCTGATTTTTTTCTTTTCCCTAACCTCAAATTACCACTTCGTGGCACCCGTTTTCAATCGATAGAAGACGTAAAGGAGAATTCGCGGCGAGAACTAAACTCAATTCCGGTAGCAGCGTTAAAAAAATGTTTTGATGAATGGATTATTCGTTGGCGCAAGTGCATCGTTTCTAAAGGAGCCTACTTTGAAGGTGATAAAATAAATTTGGATGAATAACAGACATTTTGTGTATTATTGATCTTTTCCCGGTACTTTCTTGACAGAGTAGTACAAATGCAACCTCTTTAGTTTATATATCTTAAAAACAAACACATAATTGAACGATCATCGTCACAATTACTTGCTCTCGTACAATAGATAATATCAATATTTGTGCGAGAAAACTATGTATGTATACGTGAATGTTAAATACACATTACAATGGATGCGAAGCAAATAATATCATAAAATTATATGGAACGCTTTGTATTTATGGCCGACAGGTATAAATTACTATCAGAATAAATCCCTTTAATATTGTTTGACTTTTACGTGTGTCTCTTGTTATTACGCGATGTATGATAATTTAAATGTCAAGTGACGATCGGTACGAACTTTTACGAACTACTCCGAATTCTAATCCTACTAAGTAAAATTTAAAATCACGATTTTTAACGTAGATAGATAATAATATGTAAATGACTGACTGCCTCGTTGGCCGAGTAGTCGCAAGTGCGACTGCCGGCAAGGGATCTCGAGTTCGATTCCCGGGTAGCGTGGTCTCGAATTGTACCCGGTATACGGTAATAGGCTCACCACCTATTAGGTACATGGGACTCATAACATAAATAGTGTGCACTTTTGCCTACCCCTTCGGGGATAAAAGACGTGATGTTATGTTATACATTTGTAGATAAATGGTTTATTGTACACCATTCATACAAATCGCACAGAAAAAAACTACATTTAGACAAATGTATGTACAATGGCGGCCTTATCGCTTGAAGCAATCTCATCCAGGCAAGCTTAATTTTTTTGTTCGTACGGGAAGTGCACTTCCTACCGACCAATCTAGGAGTCATTGTGGAGGCTCTCTCAGCAGTGATTATAACATAATAACGACCCGAAGGTAAAGAAACAGGGATCGAAAACTAATTGAACCCTGTTAAGCAGAAAAGATCCAGCTCACATTTTATTACTTTTAAATAAATGAAGTTTAATGTTGGGTAGATAATAAAGAAATCATATGACACGTTACCTGTTGAATAGGTACAGTACCATGTGATTACTTTAAACTTCATTTACTCAAAAGTAATAAAATATTGCTGGCTGGCTGGATCTTTTCTGCTTAACAGGGTCCAATTGAAAGATTGCATTGCTTGTTACAATATTTGTCTTCTAACTTAAAGATGCCTCTTTCCACCTATTAACTATAATCTGTAGAATCTAAGCCACAAATATATCACAATACATTTAATCATACACCTATAACTATCACGTATTAAATAACTTGCAATGTCGGGGTGGCCCGGAGATTTAAGACGCCCGCTTTTCATGCAAAAGAGTGCGGGTTCGAAACCTACCAACGACAAATACCAATGTGACTTTTCCGAAATATATGTACTTTCTAAGATTATTTAGACACCACTGACAAAAGGTGAAGGAAAACACCGTGAGGAAACCTGGACTTATAATTTCTAATTATAAGTTTAAAATCGTCAACCCGCATTGAGCAGGCGTGGTGATTAATGCTCAAACCTGCTCGTGTGAGAAGAGGCTTTGCTCAGCAGTGGGCATGTATAGACTGTTGATGATGATAAAATTACTTAAACTTTTTTGGTTAAATTATGCAAATATTTACACTGAGAAGGATAATAAGAATGATAATCTATATTAAACAGTAATTATTGGGAAACACATTACACACGAGTTTAAAAAGGTGTTCTTAATTCTTAATTATCTTATCTTGGATAAACATTCATCGGCTTAAAATTGGTATAGGAGGAAATTTTACAGCGGAATTCGTGTAATACTAGGTAGTACTTGTACCTACCCACTGTTATATATCGTGATCTAAACTTCCCTTACTTATGTTCCTTTTAATTCTGTTTGTTTCTTCGTTTTTCTAATTTATTAATTAACTCGTCGAGTACCGTCTTTGTAGACACAATTATAGAACAATAGGTTGCGGTCACCGGTGACCGCTTGGTGTTAGACAGTTTAAAGAAACTTTCCTTAGT